GGGGCCCAAAACTGGACACAGTACTCCAGATGAGGCCTCACCAATGTCGAATAGAGGGGAATAATCACGTCCCTCGATCTGCTGGCTATGCCCCTACTTATACATCCCAAAATGCCACTGGCCTTCTTGGCAACAAGGGCACACTGTTGACTCATATCCAGCTTCTCGTCCACTGTCACCCCTAGGTCCTTTTCTGCAGAACTGCTGACTAGCCATTCGGTCCCTAGTCTGTAGTGGTGCATTGGATTCTTCCGTCCTAAGTGCAGGACCCTGCACTTATCCTTATTGAACCTCATCAGATTTCTTTTGGCCCAATCCTCCAATTTGTCTAGGTCCCTCTGTATCCTATCCCTACCTGCCACCGTATCTACCACTCCTCCTAGTTTAGTATCATCTGCAAATTTCCTGAGAGTACAATCCACACCAGATCATTTATGAAGATATTGAACAAAACCGGCCCCAGGACTGACCCTTGGGGGACTCCACTTGATACCGGCTGCCATCTAGACATGGAGCCATTGATCACTACCGTTGAGCCCAACAATCTAGCCAACTTTCTACCCACCTTATAGTGCATTCATCCAGCCCATACTTCTTTAACTTGCTGACAGGAAGACTGTGGGAGTCAAAAGCTTTGCTAAAGTCAAGAAACAATACATCCACTGCTTTCCCTTCATCCACAGAACCAGTAATCTCATCATAGAAGGCGATTAGATTAGTCAGGCATGACCTTCCCTTGGTGAATCCATGCTGACTGTTCCTGATCACTTTCCTCTCGTGTAAGTGCTTCAGGATTGATTCCTTGAGGACCTGCTCCATGATTTTTCCGGGGACTGAGGTGAGGCTGACTGGCCTGTAGTTCCCAGGATCCTCCTTCTTCCCTTTTTTAAAGATGGGCACTACATTAGCCCATCATGAAGTATACGTGTTTCTACTGGTGTCTCTTAGGGATTGGTTCTTGGCCCTACGCTATTTAATGTTTTATCAATGACCTGAAAAAAATATGCAATTATCAATGATAAAGTTTGCAGATGACCCAAAAGTTGGGGAAAGGGTCAATATTGAAGAGGACAGGTCACTGATTCAGAATGATCTGGATTGCTTGGTAAACTGGCTGCAGGCAAACAATATGCATTTTAATACAGCTAAATATAAATGTATTCATCTAGGAACAAAGAATATAGGTCAAACTTACAGGATGGGGGACTCTAACATGGGAAGCAGTGAGTCTAAAAAAGATTTCAGGGTGTGGTGGATGATGAGCTGAACATGAGCTCCCAGTGTTATGATGTAGCCAAAAGAGCTAATACAATCATAGGATGCATAAATAGGGGAATCTCATGTAAGAGCTGAGAGGTTATTTTACCTCTGTATTTGACACTGGAGCGACCACTGCTGGAATACTGTGTCCAGCTCTGGTGCCCAAAGGTTAAGAAGGATGTTGATAAATTGGAGAGGGTTCAGGAAAGAGCCACAAAAATGATTAAAGGGTTAGAAAACGTGCCTTATAGTGATTGAGCTCTTTGACAGGTTTCAGAGTAGCAGCCGTGTTAGTTTGTATTTGCAAAAGAAAAGGAGTACTTGTGGCACCTTAGAGACTAACAAATTTATTTGAGCATAAGCTTTCGTGAGCTACAGCTCACTACATCAGATGCATTCAGTGGAAAATACAGTGGGGAGATTTATATACATAGAGAACATGAAACAATGGGTGTTACTATACACACTGTAACGAGAGTGATCACTTAAGGTGAGCTATGCTCAAATAAGTTTGTTAGTCTCTAAGGTGCCACAAGTACTCCTTTTCTTGAGCTCTTTGAATCTATCTATTTAGTTTAACAAAGAGAATGTTAAGGGTTGAATAATTATAGTCTATTATTACCTTCTTAGGGAATGAATATTTAATAACAGGCTCTCGAATCTAACAGAAAACGATATAACAATCCAATGGCTGGAAGTTTAAGGGAAATTCAGACTGGAAAACAGGTATACATTTTTAACAGTAAAAGTAACTAACCATTAGAACAATTTACAAAGGATTATGGTGGAGTCTCCATCACTGGCAATTTTTAAACCCTGGTTGGGTGTTCTAAAAGATCTGCTCTAGGAATTATTTTGGGCAAGTTCTATAACCTGTATTATACAGGAGGTAAGATTAGATGATCACAGTGCTCTCTTCTGGCCTTGGAATCTATGAACTTCAGTTAAATAGCTTTGGCTTATTCCAATTTGTTTCTTACTTTTTGTGAGCTTTGTTGCATGTAAGTTGTGCCTCTGCATGGGGGAAGATACCCTTCAGTCCCCTGACCCTCCAGTTCTTCAGCATTCACAGGAAGACCTGTAACTGAGGGCTAGATCCACAAAGGGATGTTTAGGTGCCTAGAAAAATCACTGAAACACTAATGGGATCCACAAAGCCTGAGTTAGGCACCTAAGCTCCCTATACAATGCATGGGGAGAGAGAGGCATCTCAGGTCAGATTTTTAAAAAATTATTTAGATGCCTAGTAGGATTTTCAAAGGCATCTAGGCACCAATCACCCCTTGAAATGAATGAGTTTTAGGCATCTAGGTGCTTTTGAAAATTCCACTACGTGCCTAAATACCTTTAAAAATCTTGCCCCTAAAAACATCCACAAAAGCCAACATGCTAGGTAGGGTGATGCCTGAGCTAACCGCTGCAGAAAGGAGTGTTCACCAAAGTTCAGCCCCTAAATTCAGGCTGCAGGGAGGTGCCTGTTTCAGCTTATAATTCACAGCCAGGAACCTTCTCCTGGAGAGGAACAGTTTAGGTGGAGTACAGGAGTTGACAGGAGAGCGCTCGGGGATTGATTTATTGCATCTATACTAGACGCAATAAATCGATCCCCACTGGATCAATCGCTGCCCGCCAATCCTGTGGGTAGTGTAGACATACCCTAAGTTATTTCTTGTGAGAAGTTAGGTGCCGGCCTAACTCCACACAAAACAACCATAAGGAGCAGGACCTGCCTTTAGCCCACAGGTTAGTGGACTTACCCAGAATGCATGAGATCTCAGTTCAGTTCTTCACTCTGCCTGAGAAGAAGAGACTTGAAGAGGGGTTTCTCAGCTCTCTAGTTAGTGCCATAATCACTAGATTATAGACTGATTCTCACTCTCTGGCCCAATTAAAGAGGAACAGCTTCAACAAGAGATACTGAGAGATTCCTATATCGGAGTACCCCTGTGGTTAGGCCACTTACCTGAGAGGTGGGGAATGCCAGATCAAATCTCTCCTCCGGGGGGTAGGGGGAGATTGAACTAGGATCTTTCAGAGCCTGGGTGAGTGTAATAACCATTGGATTATAAAGGGAGGTCATCCCCTTCTCCAGGGATTATATGTGGAGTTAGGCAGCCCCTGAGTATGCCTACTGAAAAGGCAGACAAGAAAGGCAGAGGAACACCTCTATTCCCCTGGTTTGGGATCACGCTGGGGTTCAGGCATTTGGATGCCTAGAGTGAGGCAGCAACATGCATGCCCTGATGCAAAAATTGAGGTGCTTACAGAGCTTTTACAGCAAAAGTTTAGGTGTCAAGTGAGTTTAGATATCTGCAGGCTGAGGCACCAGCTGAGTGGGGAGTTTGTGGATCCCAGTGGTGTATAAGACTGAGACTTTGGCTTATTGAGATACCTAAATCCCTTCGTGGATCTGGCCCTAAGAGAACTGATAGGTATCAGCTCAAAGAGTAACTTCTTTACCTTGTTTAGAATTCATGCATTGTTTTTCTCCCTGCTTGTTAAATTGTGAATGTAGGTTTTAAAATTATCTATTAAATTAAGCTGCCTTGTGTACAACTGTGGTATCCTAGTCTCCTCTCCTGTTAAGATGAGGTTTGCTGACCAGTTAATGTCACACTATGGTCCAGTTCAGCGTCGTTTTTAGTTTTTTAGTTTTTTTTCTGTTTTTAGTCACCAAACTGCCCTACTTTCTTACATTAGGGCTTCTTTTCAAATACCATTGCAAACAATGGCTTTGTGACTTGGGAATTGGACAGTTCACTGCAGTGAATGGCTGTGCACCTCTGAAAAGCCATACTGATGCACACCAACTCTTGTACACAGAGATTAACATTCATCATAAAATTAATCTTTTTTTATCTAAAGATTATGTGTGGCTTGACTTTTTTTTCTCCTCAACTCCCTTGCATCTTAAAATTGAATACAGTATATACACAAGAAAGTTTCAAGATTTGTTATGATCTAGCTGCCAGGCTTTTTCCCTATCACATTACACTTACAGTATTTATTAAGGCTGGGATCATGTCCATTGTCAGATGATTTTTCAGTATGAAAATTAAAATATCAACTAAGACTGATTAGAGAAAGGAATTACATAGGATAAAGGTCAGGGGAACTTACAATATTCAAACGTAAAAGCAAAACCTAGCTCCAATTTCCTTTTAAAACTAAGTGAATTGTAAATTCCGTTTTTCTTTAAAAAACACAAAGCTCTACATGTACACATTTTTAGGTGACATTTCAACAGTGGTTCACTCAGGAGACAGGCAGGTCTGTTCTTCAGGCTAAGGCAAGAGAAGATTAAATTAAGAACAAAATGCTTTCGTATGAATTTTCCCTAATGTGAACCATGCAAAAGGAAAGAAGCCAGGTGGAATCTTCTCTTTATTTTACCATCCTGGATTTTTCAAACTATATGATCTGATGGTCATATATACACAACCATCCTATAACACTGAAGATCTCCTAGTTGTTTGAACTTATCATTGTTGTTTTGAGAGCTACCAACAAATCTATACTGATAAACCGCAATGATAGACTTCTTCCACAGGATACACTCATCATCAACCTTTTTGGTGTAACTGCTATTAAATCAAATCTATGCAGGAAGTTGTTCAGAAAACTGAGGCTCCCAAATATGTAACTTGTGGACTTGTCCATAAAAGCAGCAATAGCATCTAAGATGCCCTTTTTCATTAGCTGTTCTAAAATAGTGATTTAAATATTACTGTCTGTTTCAGATGTAGACACAGCTCCAGCAAAATCACCTGTGTCCCGAAAGACTGAAAAGTCAGCAGAACCAACTGGGACAATTCAGGAAACAGAGTCAACAGCCCAATAATGACAAAGATGAGGATGCTAAGTAAGTAATTACTATAAAAGATTGTTGATTTTTCTTCTTGACATCTGGTAATAACTTTACACTGCTGTGTCCTGTACTTAGGCCTGGCAGAATTTAATTTTAATTTTGATAGATTGAATGTTTCTATAAGCATTTTTTATTTTTATCAATTTCAATTGTCACAATTGCACTAAGGTATGGTTTTAAAGCTTTTTTTTTCCTATTTTTATTTATATTTCACAGTTGTAGGAAATTATGGGGGGGGGGAGTCAGCTATTGTTTATTTAATGACAGTAGACATTAGATTCAAAAGAATTAAAGCTTTATAACATGGATTGTATATTTTAAAATGTGATGTTGACAAAGTAAATAACCTTAAATCAAAATAAGCTTTCAAATAACATTTTTGCTCTGTAAATTCCAAATATCGATTGAAAATTTTTGTTGGTTTGTGTGTGTACAATGAAATTGATGTTTACTATTAAAATTTAATTCTTCCAAGTCTATTATATTACAGTTCTCTATTAGGCCCTCAGATAGCATGGTAATGACACAATATAAGAACCTGAATATATTACTGTTATCTCCTGTAATTCTATGACAACCATCAGCATGCCACCACAAATGAAATTTCTCATGTATCATGCACTTTTGATAACTTCACCTGTACTCAGTATGCTAATCTAGCTATTCCCACCCACCTCACCCTCAATTCAAGCACTGATAAGAGCAATTTCTCATGTATCATGCACTTTTGATAACTTCACCTGTACTCAGTATGCTAATCTAGCTATTCCCACCCACCTCACCCTCAATTCAAGCACTGATAAGAGCAATTTGCTGTCCTCAGTGAATTACTTTAGACCTCAGTTCCTCCTGTGCCACTGACATATTGAGCAGTCCCCCACTGATTACAATCACTCCCTAGTCATGGTACTTCTTCCCAGTTGAAACTAGCACATTGAATATCCTCTGTCACTGTCTCCCACCAGTTCTTCCCTTGGCCTTCCTCACTTTCTCTTGCCACCCTCAGCTACTCCTTAGCATCTCTCCCATCATTAATATGGAGTATATGACCCAGATGCCTGAGCATTCTCTGTATGATATTTTATAACATGTCCTGCTCTGTGAGCTCCCTTACTCTTACATTTGTTATTCTGTCTTTCCATGACATGTGTAGTATCTTTCTGAGCTATCTGTGATGGGCAGCCTCCAATCTCTTTGTTAGCTACTAGCATTGGCTAGTCTCTGCGCTGTATTGTACTGAGCACACTACAATCAAATGGTATAATCTGACCTTTAGTTTGGTGTGGAGACCTCTGTTTGACCAGATATTGTTCATCCTTCCAAAAGTGGTGTTTGCTTTTCCTAATTTCATAGGAAAATCTTTAAGCACAGCCACTTTCAAATGTCACCACACTCCCTAGATAGCGGAACTCTGTTAGATTTTCTTTTCCATCCACGTACAGCTTTGCATCTGTTGCCCAACCTCCTACCTTCATAATCTTGGTTCTCTCTGCATTTACTTTCAATCCAGTTTTGCTGCTCACTGTTCTACTTCTGTAAGCACAGTAATTCCATTCTGCAGCATACTTATAAAGCAATGTTGTTGGCAAAGTCAGGTCCAGTGACTCATCTCAGCTAATCCATTTTACGCTGTCCACAATGTCTTTTGTTGCTCGCTTCATCATCCCATTTATTAGTAATGCAACCAAGCTTGGAGAAAGTTCCAGCTTCAATTTATGTTTTGTTGTCATTTTTAAGTTAAAAATAAATGCAAATCTTGGAAAAGGAGTATGCTTGAACTATAACCATTATGCGTATGCTCACAGAGCCAGATGAAAATTCCTCCTGCTTACATTTACTCATCATACTTTATAACTATCCAGAATACAAAGAAGCAGTCATTCCCTGACCTGCTATTTATAGAGAAGATTAACTATTTCCTGGTTTTCAGCAAGAGAGCTCTTAGTACAACGACCAGGAATAAATGAGCAAAATAGTAATGCACACTCCTCTAGAAAGAATATGTTTGACACAAATACTCCCACTAGAATGACTGGAAATCTTATAAATAACTTGGCAATTTAAATGTGAATCAACAGATCAACAATAAAAACCCAGGTAAAGCGCATTCATTGTGCCATTGCTTTGTATGTGATTATAGGCCTGCTGTTCCTTTTTGAGTTGTGTCACCATGGTTAACATGCTTGTGAAACAATATGCTTGTGAAACAATAAAAGCGTGTACTGCTTAATTAACAGGAGAGAAGAGTCAGCCTGTGAAGTAGATTTTTCTTAACTCCTGTAGGTATGCCCTGTTTTGCCCACTATATTTTGTTTTTCATAGAATATCTATTTGTTACCCACTAAGAGTCAAAGCATAATAAGGGGATGATTGCTCTTCTGGAGGATTAGAAGTCGTGAGTATGCATGTTGGAATGCCCTGAATGGACATACTATGGATCAGATGCTACATTTTGTGTATGTAAAGGCTGATGCACACATGACCCCAGACAACCCACACTTCACAAAAGCTGCACTGTTATGGTTATAACAGATCAATAAATGCTTGCATTAGAGACAGTTTAATTTTTTTTAAATTGTTAGAGCACTGGCAGTGTATTCAATACTATACAAAAATTGTGGGGGACAGAGGATTTTTCCACTAGTAGCTTGCAGTATAAGGGCTCAGTCCTGCAAACACATATATGAGCAACATACGTCATGGCCATAATCCCACTGAAGCCAGCAGAACTACTCACAAGTGTAAGCATTTACAGGATTGGGTCATGAGTGTACTGAATCCATCTTCCAATTCATCTGTATTAAATTAGCTTTTAACTCATGATGCAGCACTTCCCGTCTTTTTTGTGAATCTCATCCGAAAGAACAAATCAATTTATTATCTTGTTGGATGAGTCACTTAGCTCCTAGCAGTGATAGTATTCACCCCTGGAAATTTCCATGGATTTCTGTTTGTCCATTAGCTGTTTGTCCATTAGCAAGAAAAATGACCTGTTTGGGGCTTTGCATGTCAGCACTCTGATTTTGAAATATAAAAAAATTAATTGTGATGGACACTAATAAAGAGTAGGCAGACATAGCTTCCTTAGTAGGCAGACATAGATTCCTTAGTAACATCTAAGCATTATGTCTAAAAAGAGGAGATGGCCTATGTGCTGTGTAGCTGAATGATGACTCAGTCACTGAAACTTTAATGTCTGTTTCCTAATGATTCAGATAAGGATTCGGTACTAGTCTGGCTTGTCCATTAATATATTGTTTCTCACCCCACCTATAACAAAACAATGGGTTATTTCTATGAATAACTTTTTGCTGAGATATGGCAATCTCTTCTTGGGGGCTAAGTATATGCAGTCTCTTCACAGCAAGGACAGTGAGAACAGTCTAGCATTCAGAATCTTATCAGCATTCTAATAGGAGTTAAGTCTTGGAATAACAAGACAATTGCAGCTGTAATGATATTTAAAGATTACTGTGTATAGACACACTGAAAAGTTTTAAAATGGAATATACACTATGTACTGAATAAAACCAAATTGCCACATACACACACATGAACACAGCAAAGGTTGCATCTAATCTTTGCTCCTTTTCATATTTTCTATGTAAAAATGTTGCATTTTGGTTTTAGCAATTTTAAATTTGAATTTGGAACTTGTCTTTTTCAATGTGCGACAAGGACCTAAAAATGATTTATAAAAACCACAGCCACTGCAGAAAACTTATAATTGGCCGAGCAAAGCAAGGTCTAACACTCAGTGATATTTTTGTTTGTAATGTATTAACTTTGGAATGCTGCATCTGATCTATGCCAAGATTTTAGTGAATGTTCTAGGGACCAATAGACACAACTCTACTGATTCTGGTGTAAATTGGAACACCAGAAAATTCTGTACTTGTGGCACCTTAGAGACTAACCAAGGTGCCACAAGTACTCCTTTTCTTTTTGCGAATACAGACTAACACGGCTGTTACTCTGAAACCAGAAAATTCTGATTCACAGCAAAAATCAGGTCCCCCAGACTGCCTGGTTCTGTTGACAGAGGAATCTTTCTAAGGAGATCAGAGGCAACAGCTTAACTTGCCACATATGGAAATCAGCTGAAGCCTGGATTCCAAAAATAAAAGAATCTTATAGGGAGGGTCTGTAGGGTTGCCCCTCTCCTAGGTACAGAAAACCAGGGCAAGGGGAAGGGCTGTCTGGGACTCCATGAGAGGGTGGGGCTTGGTGCCGCTCATTCCTTCCACACCCTTCTAACATTTAAAATGGTGACACACAAAGGAGTATGAGGGGAGAGGACTAAAACATCAATGGGCACCTTATGGTGCTGGAACTAGGGCAGCTGCCACACTCTCTGACTTGAAATTGTAATAACAAACACCAAATAGATGGTTTCCATCATCAGCACCCCCACTATAAAAATTGTTCCAGCACCCCTGTGGGCCCTTCATACCCAGACCTGGCCCACCTTTCCCTCGTGAAACCATCGACGGGCCCCACAGCCCCCCACACCCTGAGCCGGGCCCAAGGAGAAGCACTTTACCCTCCCTCCAGTAGGGTTGCCGCCTGTCCAGGTTTTTCCAGGACTGTCCTTTCTTTAAGTTGGTGTCCCAGGAAATCACTAAATCTTCCCAAAACATTAAAAGTCCTGGATTTGCTACCTCCCGTTTCCCTGCCCTCAGCCTGCCTTTCCCTGGGAGTTTCCCCTCCATACAAGGGGCCACCCAGGAAGTTTTTGGAAAGCATAGGGGACAATTTCCTGGTGCAAGTGCTAGAGGAGCCAACTAGGGGGAGAGCTTTTCTTGACCTGCTGCTCACAAACCGGGAAGAATTAGTGGGGGAAGCAAAAGTGGATGGGAATCTGGGAGGCAGTGACCATGAGTTGGTTGAGTTCAGGATCCTGATGCAGGGAAGAAAGGTAAGCAGCAGGATACGGACCCTGGACTTCAGGAAAGCAGACTTCGACTCCCTCAGGGAACGGATGGGTAGGATCC